ACCGTCCGAATACGGCATTTTGTATGATACGTGCATCAACAAAAATTGCGGCATAGATCTGCTAGGTAAACAGGAACGCACTATGGTGCACTGAAGAATGAGTTCCGTGCGTGGTCATGCATATCAATATTCCAACGACGTGAAGTCACTGATTCTACAATAGCAGGATGTCCCATGTCACAAACGTGAACTCTTATCTTAGTATGCAAACCGACAATGTGATATGCAGTGCTAAATGTAAATTATTTAACAACATCTCGTGTTCCCTACAGTTTATCAAGCGAATTAGTGTACATTCAGCGGACCGGATGAACTGACGTCGTAAGCTTGGTCTGGCCCGCGGGTTGCAATCTGGGAACCTTGAACTGCTGACGACAGTTACGACTTTCTTAATATAAGTTCGCAGTGTTCCACATCTTGAATACGGCAGGATGTGTGCAGACGTGGTTGTGATAAGGGAATTGTTCCAATCTATTCGTAGATCATGGCAGCTGTGACAACTTTCCATGAGTCTATACTCCTGCTGATTCCACCCGGAAGTTGCTCAGTCACATATCGTGGGTAAGAAAGTGAAGCCAGTGTTAGATGTAATTCAAGTTGTTCAAACTGTGTTACGCTGGCTTCAGGTAATCAAACAGTTGTTGGTGTCCCCGACTAAACAGTGGTTCTACTTTTAATCTCCTACAGTATAAAAATCATTGTGCGCTTAGAACTTATATATTACCTACTGCAGGAGCCCAAGGACAATGTCGTCCTTCTACTATATCACCGAGTCCACGACGTTTATCTGAAGCAGAAGTCGAAAACACATGTCATTTAGGGAAGCATTTTGGTATGCTTACAGAGTCCTCCCTGACCTAGTAATCGGGGCCGACATCGTGGTTCATCGCAACCACCGTAATATGCTTGTACGTGAAGACAAAGCAGCTCAACAACAATACATGGGTTGTATTTTTTTTAAAAACCAACATTTACTATGGAAGAAAGTTAAGATATTCGCTAACTGAAGTAATCTATTTTCTGCTTAACCATGCCGTTGGAGTGGAACAGACTGCTGAAGAAGCGGTCGATTCTTAACGGTTGCAATATATGCTAGGACCTTACAACGATAGGTCCACCAGTATTACATACTCACACCCGTGGCTCCAATTTTGGGATTTAGGCACATCAAGTTTATCATTACAACTGTGCTATGGAAACCGTTTTACTGCGCAACTACATTCTGCCTGGAATCAATGGCATTTCTCCGAGGTACTGAAGGCAGTAGGAATAACGCTGAGCGAGCACTTTCGCAATTATTCTAAACTTGGTTGCACAAGCAAATTGTGCCTACCATATGGAAACAAGGAGTAATCACGTCCATGTCTAAAAGTGGCATTCGCTCAGAACCCTTAAGTTATCGCCTAGTGGTTCTCCTTCCTGTACTCTCATAGGAGATGGAGGAAATCATTGCTGAGGCTTTAGTCGACCAAATAGAACTCTAGAAAATCATGGAGCCGGTGCAGCACCGTTTTCACCTGCACCATTAATGCACAACCAACCTAATGATTGCACGCATTAATTGGACGAAAGTAACAGAGGTACAGGGTTTAATGTCATGTACCACGACTTCTGCAAAGTCTCCGAATACCTAGACCACCGCATTCTGCCTCACAGACTCGAAGGATGCGGAAGTAAGCATTCGGTCCTCGAGTGGATTGGGAATTTCTTGCAGCAGGTTAGAGTTCAAAGTGAGTTGTCCGATCCGATTCATGTCGAATGTGATTCCACTAGGATCAGGGCTGGGACCTCATCTTTTTCTCGCGTTGATCACCTTGAAATTCTTACCGTTGGCTGATAATGGTAAGATGTGGCGGACACTTGCCGGCAAAGGAGACCACGATTCCTCCAACGAAATCTGGACAGCGCGTATGAATGGTCAGTTCATAACTTGCTCCTTTTGGTTCGTTCAGATGGAAGGTTCTCTACATTCGTCATCAGCTGAACACCAAATACAAACTTGGAGACCACCCTGGTATGCGGTTACCAAGGAGCGTGGCCATGGGGTATTAATTTATGCTGTTCCCTTGCACAAAACAATTTCATAGGTTGTCAATGACTTAAAGTTAAAACCTTAGTATTCTGTAATTGGCATCCAGGCTGTTTGATCCATCATTCTGCCCACAGATGCTTATCACATCCGTGCAGCCTCATATGGAATAAGTTAGCTAGGCTTGGCAGCCCTAGCATAAGCAAGATATTGCGAGCTGGGGAATCCACAACGAAGAGCCAGCAAGCACACCAATGAAGTATTCCACCTTCCATATCAACCAAGACTTGGGACACTAAGATCGTAAGGGCGGCCAGTATCGGTGCCTGCTAATGATCTACCAGATTCTGAGGAACGCCAATCACATCTTCCACTACCTCCTAAAACGGTCACCATACGAACCTGAGGGACCACCAGTTCAGGTTGGTCACGCAGCGCTGCCGGGTAGGACGCTGCCGGAACTTTCACTATGAGTATGTCACCCGTAGAGCAGTCTTTTTAATTAGGTTGCATACGTGGCCACAATAGTCGTTTTAAAAAACGCCTCGAGATTGCTTTGGCCCACCTACATTTCGAACTGTAGGCGTGTAAATCGGGAGACGACATGACGTAACAAACGGTGAACCAACCAGCAATTCACTACAGAATCCAGGGAGGCTTCTTTGCGTATGCCCCAATGTGAAACAATCAAGTACCTATCAAAATATTGCTCACTATCATTATATTTTCTGTTTCAATATTGTGGTTTTCATTCTGACCTTCCCACGGGACTTGATAAGCAATTGCGTGCTTAGCCGTAATACGCCTGTCAAGTGGCCCTCCGTGGAGCAAAAAGTCAAAGTCTGGGCCTCGATCAGAAATTCCTTACTCATAGAACGCAAACTCATTTTATATCTCGAGTCAATTAGGACCACTCACAGATGTAGAACAAATCTCATTCCTACTACATTCTTGGTAATCGTTCGAGCTTCGTTCAATGTCGATCCAAATCAATTGCATGCTATCCTTCAGTTTGCCTCTGCAGCGATCGACCAGCTTTCAGACTGTTGACCCAAAATCCTTAAGCTCGACCGATTGCTATGTAACGGGCAGCTATGTGTACTATCTTACCATCTCAACGCCATCTTTGCAATGTGTGAGCGCACTTTTTCCTTTCGCAATTGGGAACGGACTTAAGGGATGAGTCGTCCAAACATCGCATAGAAATGATGTCAGTTAGCTTTCCTCGGTACTTTTTCCACTGTCTTCTGTTGGAAAAAGTCATCAGTACCCTCTGTCAGCACTATGTTTCATGTCGAATGTATCGCAGACTTTACTTGCCTGGCTAATACTCAATTGTGTGCTGAGGGACTATTATTCTGGATGTGCTCAGTTTACTCGACTTGGGGGTAAAAGTTCCTCGATACTCACCACAGTCACTGGGATGCTTCAAGGAGCCATATTGTGACCATACCTATTTTCCACTTATGTTGCCTCATTACCGGCTCCTGACGGAGCGATATCACTGAGATATGCAAACGACGTGGTCTTTAGTATCTAGCATCCGTCCTCAGCCTCTTCAGTGAAGGTACAAGCCTATCTGGACAACGTTGCATTATGGTCCAGAGTTCCCTTCTTATCGTTAAATGCATTAAAATGCAGTGACGCTCATTATCTGCCCTTCACATTGTTATCAACAACTTCTAACGGATAGCCCTGAAGTTCAAATAGATGGTGAGCGGTTGCAATCCACCGAGCCTGCCGTGATCTATCGTGGGCACTCCATGTGGATGAAGTTTTTTCACAAAAATGAGGAGAATTTCCTTTTACGCTGCTCGTTTGTGATTCTCCTGTGTCCCCCGCTATCTAATACTGCAATTTATCACCGCTTGTGTCTTATCTCACTGGACTTATTGCTTCCCGGGGACATTTTCCGATTTCCTATGGAGTCCTTTCAAAATCTCAGACAGGTCATTAACTCGACTGTCTCGATGTAGTGGTATCCTAAAGCCGATCTCTGTTGACATTATTGTGTCTAGTCATTCCAGTTTACGCAAAAGGCTTATTTCAAAAATATTCGCTGATGCCACTGGTGCACTGTTTGACTATATATCAACTTCCTAAACTAGACAAAACTACAGATCCATTTATTCCCGTACAAGGGCATACCACTCATTCGTAATGCCATATTTGGTGAGCTTTTTGTGCAACCAGACCTCAGTCGTTATGGACCATCCAAGCAAAGTTACATTGTAACAATATTGCTGTCTTAGCTGCATATTAAACCTTTTTGTGGCTTCTTTTTACAACGCCGTAGACATAAGTTTAACAGCTGCTTATCCACCCCTGTGGGGCATAAAACACTTTCTTTAATGGAATCTTGAATTGTCATTGAATAATGTTGCATATTAGGCTCTGTGAGCCTGGGCGTATCAACTTGGATCAGATACTGGATCGATGACGTGAACCCGTCGATTTCACCTTCCATGTGCTATGTGAAGTCCATTTGTTCCAAGAGCCTACCTTGTCATAAAACCATCGATGAACACATGAAACTTTAAAATAATATCTCTGATTAAACCATTTACGGAGCTAAAAATGAACGTACTTCCAACACTGAGACTTGTGACATGCCGTACTGAATTTCTGTTGTGCCTATCTGGACCCAAGTAATGCTGCTGTAGCTTGCGTGGTGGTGAGTTAAAGTTAACTCTGGTTTTGGACATCATATGCGGCATTCCCCCAGAAGCAGTTAAACTTAATCCGTATCTTCCAAAAACTTCTATCAGCTTTAACATACGGAATTCGTCCGTGAACAATGTGAGGATACTGACTACACCCGGTGGTGGGTGAAACGATGAAAGGATATGTGGATAAGGTTACTCCTCAATTTAGCGATTGTCATCAAAATGAACCATTCCTTGCACTTTTGCATACGCTGCTTTCACTAATGGTCGGTTCACAACTGTATCGTCTTTTTTCTTTATGACAGTTCCAGCCGGGGCGGTTATTGCTATGGTGGTTGGATTTATTCTGTTTATCCTGCTCATCCTCTTCTGCGTATGTAAGCGTTGTGTGTTCAAACGACGCAAGAAGGATCGCAGCGCAAAGAAAAGCAAGGCCGATATACGAAGTGTTCAGCTGCTGGGTAAGGGACTGACAAAGGATCAGGTGAGTATCGTGGCCACAGGAGCATGTCCATTTCCAATATCAACCATTTCATATATCAACCATTCATAAACTGAAAGTTTATTCCCCTTTGAGATTAAGCTAATTGGAATCACTTGGAAGCGGGAGGTTTCCAGTGTTGCACTGACTAGTGATTTGGTGCGAAATTACCGTTTAACGAATATAGTAACTCAAAAATATTGATACTCCTTTGTTTCTGTTCGGTGGTCACACCGAACAAAGGCGCTTGGCGTGCCTCTTGGTGGCTGTGTGAGAAGGTGACGAAATCAGTCCTTTATCATTAGTTTGGTCGAGTCTACGTCTGGCCATGTTAGCAAGCAGCCAGTTCCGGAATACTACGGCAAAATGGCAGACGTGAGAAACGGACAAATTTGGTGCGAGCAATAACCAGCCAGACGATAAACAACAATGCAAATCAAGACCAAGGTAAAGAGGAGTGAAGGACAAAGACGTTGCCAAAAGTGCGCGCGTTTTACCTATAAATATAATCTTTCTTCCGTCCTTAATACATACCGTTCAGTTGAGCCTTGACTTCTGTCTCCCTTGCGGTTCAATTGCAGTACCAGGTAGAGTGCGGTACCGGGTAGTGAACGATTACAGAGAGCTTTACAATAGTTTCATAAATAGGACCTGATTTATAAACCGCCGCCAAATTGGCATGTCACAATGCACCTGCAGTGAGTGTATTTCCATCGATTTAACATCATTCGAAGCGGTATATAGGCTTGTTTACATCACTGTATGTCTCACAAGGAGGTCCGACACCAAATCACAGCCAGGAGGCTGTAAACTAACTGGCCATGGCTCGTTCTGCAACGCCTGAGTAGGAAGAGGTCCGGGAGCACGGGGCCAGCCTAAGTGAGCTTGAAAGTGTTCCGCCCAACGAGTCATACCGCGCTTCTTATTGTGTATATGTGCATCCACCTTGTCTCTGATTGTCTCACTGACGCCTGGTTTCCTGGAACCAGTGATGCAGATCAGCTGGAAGAGCTGGCGGTAATTGCCTACTGCTCCTGCCTACTTCATTTCTTGAGCTCCACTGGTCCACCAAGCTTCCTTGTCAGCACGCAGGCTCCGCTTTTATTCGCGCTTAATAGTCCATCTGGTTACACTGTGCACAGAGCGAGCCGGTAGATTTCTTCTGGATTCCAACAGGTTCACCGACCTCTCGGATATCCAGTGACTGGTGCGGTGACGATTGATAGTGCGTCATGGTAGACTTGCCTGACCGAAGGCTGAGACAATTTCCCAGTTTGAACAACGAAATGAGCAGACGAATATTGGCAGGTGTTGGCATTTCGTATTGTCTCGTCAGTACCAATACAATAACAGGGAAATCCTTTTTATATGTCTTACAGGGCACAGTCAAACCAATCAAATTTATTGTTGTGGTCATAGTTGTCAGATTAGGGCCACGGCAACCGCAGGTTGACAACTAATTGCTTTTGGACACACAAAGCTGGTCTAATTCGGCTTATCGCGACGGCCTCGGCAAATCGTAAAAGGCGTGCATTAGCATGACGTAACAAGATCCGGAAAGCTGATAAGGGATTGACCCGGTGACGAGTCGCCAAGATGTGCCTGCCTATGGAGGACGCTGGTGGCTTACGCGAACACGCATCATCGGAGGTGGATTGGGTAACTTCGCGCTGAGCCCAGTTTGGTAGGTGTTCCTTCACTCGGGAATCTAAAACCCGACAGACAGAAGTAGAGGCCCGTATAACCCGACACCTTGAAACGCTTCTCCTACATCGTGTAATTGTTGAAACCACCTACAAGCATTTGAAGTCGAGCGGTTCCTCGACACCACAGCTATACGGGTTACCAAAAACTCACATGCAGGGCATGCCACTAAGACCCATTTTGTCCATGGTAAATTCCCCGCAGCACAAATTGGCTCGTTGGTTAGTTCGGATCCTTGCACCACTGAGGCGGCATTACAATTTGCACAGCATTAAGGACTCTTTTGAAATAATCGAAGACCTAGACCAAATCAGCGTAGCCGACAAGGTTATGTGCTCAGTGGACGTCCAATCGTTATTTACTAATGTCCCCTTGCTTGAGACAGTTGATTACATTTGCCAGCTGATAGAAGAGGAGAATTTCCGTCTACCAATACCGACAGACCTCCTGAGACAGTCCCTGTTACTTTGCACAGAGAATGTCGCTTTCCGATTCGACCACAACACATATCACCAAATTGACGGAGTAGCTATGGGTAGTCCGTTGGGACCGGTACTAGCTGATTTTTTCATGCTGATGCTTGAGAGGAAACTAAGTGGACAGATTTCTCAGCTGCCGTATTACAAACGATACGTGGATGATATCCTTTTTTCGGTTCCACAAAGATGCAAATCGAACAATTAGTAGACCAACTTAATATTGTTCACGCCAACCTGAATGTGACTTTTGAATTCGAATCGAATGGGCGCCTTCCGTACCTCGACATTTTCATGAGTCGCAGGGATAATGGGCTGATTAAGCGATCTGTATACCGGAAACCAACGTGGTCCGGCCAATATCTACACTTCACTAGCTTCTCACCGATGGCACACAAGCGCGCGCTAGTAAAAACATTATTCACTCGGGCCAGACGTATCTGCTCCAACGACTGCCTGGCTGAAGAGTTTGAGCTGACCACTAAGACACTTATGGAGAATGGCTACCCAAAGCGATTCATAGACAAACAAAGCCAAGTTAGACCGCCCAAGGAGATGGTGTTGACAGCCCCTAAGAAGAAGGTGTACATTTAGCTCCCATTCAAGGGTGACACTGCAACGAAAAGGATAACCAAACGGATTGTCTCGGCCATTCAGCGTACATACTGTGCTGCGGAGGCGGTAATTATCAACAGAACCCGAAAGTTGCCGTTACCTTCAGTAAAGGAAGATGAACCCGTCGGCGCCAACTCCCATTGTGTCTACCAATTCGTGTGTGACTGCGGTATCAGTTACATCGGCAGGACCGAACGGGTTCTAGATTCCCGAGTGAAGGAACACCTACCAAACTGGGCTCAGCGCGAAGTTACCCAATCCACCTCCGATGATGCGTGTTCTCGTAAGCCACCAGCGTCCTCCATAGGCAGGCACATCTTGGCGACTCGTCACCGGGTCAATCCCTTATCAGCTTTCCGGATCTTGTTACGTCATGCTAATGCACGCCTTTTACGATTTGCCGAGGCCGTCGCGATAAGCCGAATTAGACCAGCTTTGTGTGTCCAAAAGCAATTAGTTGTCAACCTGCGGTTGCCGTGGCCCTAATCTGACAACTATGACCACAACAATAAATTTGATTGGTTTGACTGTGCCCTGTAAGACATATAAAAAGGATTTCCCTGTTATTGTATTGGTACTGACGAGACAATACGAAATGCCAACACCTGCCAATATTCGTCTTCTCATTTCGTTGTTCAAACTACTGAAGGGGACTAACTGTTTTAAATTTCCCAGTTGCCAATCGAGAAAGACGGTTGGTACGCCTCCCGGAAAAGTTCGTGGAGAAACGACAGTGTATCAAGACATCAACAGATTTGACGCAGGTGTTCCAGTAGGAGCATCAATCCAGGATGGAACCACGCCACCTGTAACCGAAGGCAATCTGATCTACTTGGGTCCATCGCTGGCCAGCTACAGGAGGAGCCAAGTGGCACTTCGGCGCCCACTGTGTCTAAAAGCAGTGCTACTAAGAAACAACTAGTGCTCCGCACACAGTTGCAGCAGACGCTCACCGTTTTCAGTCCGTTAGGAGCTAAGCCAGTAAATACCACCCAGCTGAGCTTCTGAAAAACTCATACACTCTGCAAGTGCCATACTATCTGAAGTAGTAGCGCTGCGTAGTAGCGCGTTATGTTCATGATAGAATGTGTCCCTGAATGCATTTGAACTGTATTTGATGGAAGAATAAGCGAAAATCAAAAACAAACAGCGTTTTGTACTACTTCGTGAAGCAACCTTAGCTGCTGTCGTCAAATAGGCTGGACACAAACGGCTGTGCACTGGAATCCAATCAACCAACGATGGCTCAGCCTTGGAGCTGAGATTGATACCCACCCTAGCCTGACCCGTGAGTGCTGCAGTGACGTCTCCGGATGCAGGCAACCAATAACGAGAGGATATGCCGGGTGCAGTTAATTCAACATCCCCAGTAGGGCTATTGATCCTAATTTCGGACATACAACACACAACAATACCCAGTGTGTCTAAAATGCATGCGAGTGCAGCCTGTTGACCGATTTGTCTTAGATATGTGAATGGCAAAAGAAAGGTTAAACAAGAAATACCACCACTCAAGACGGCCAGTGGATGCTGCGAATGCTCTACTCCTGCAGTTTGGCTCGGTAACTACTAATACCATGGAATCTTCGCCCTACCAAGTCCCAACAAATGTCGTTGGCTTATCCAGCGTCACCTTTACTCCAGCAGCTGTTGCAAGCAAATTACAGTCTTTCCGGGATTACAGTGCCCCTAGAATCGACATGATCTGCCCAAAAAGTACTGAAAAGCCTTGCTCACACCACGGAGCACCACTCGCAACCTTTTTACAGGATCTACTTAACTCCCATCTGAGTGGAAAAATGGAATTATCACGCCAATATACAAACGAGATAAGCGATCGGATCCTGCCAACTACCGACTTATTACTCTCCTTCATGTGTTATCAAAAGTGATGAAATCGGTAATCGCAGATGAACTGACGCGATACTTTGAAAGTCTACAAATAATTTCTAATGCGTAACACGGTTTCAGCCACAGACGATCTTGTCTCACCAATTTGCTGATTACTCGGGACTCATGGATCTGGGCGGCTGATGAAGAAATCCCCACAGAGGTGATTTACTTGGATTTTTCTAAAGCATTCGAAAGGGTCAATCACTTTTTTCTCCTTTAAAAGCTTGCTGCTTACAGTATCAACGGTTCCCTGCTCACCTGGTTAGAAGACTACTTACACGACAGAGTAATCAAGGTAAGAGTAGTCGACACTCA